TTCTCCCTCTCCCACTTCTCCCTCTCCCTCCCCCTGCTTGTGTTCCCTCTCTCGCTGTGTCTCTCTCTGTCAAATAAATAAATAAAATCTTTAAAAAAAAATAAGTACACATGTCCTTGTGACCAAAAAATTCACTTCTACAAAACTTAACTTTCACGTATATTCACTCATGTGAATTCGCACTTGTACAAGGTTATCACAATATTGGTACTGTAAACAAACGGAACTGCCCAAATGTTCCTCAATGAGATGGGTTAAGTACATTTTGATACATCCTCACAATGGAGTACTAGTATACAGCTTTAAGAAAAAAAAGAAATGGAATGATCTTCAGGATACACTATTTAGTGGGAAAGGCAAGATACAGCACAATGCGCAATGGGAACACAAGAAACAAGTGACAGGGGTTCCCTGTCAGAGAGGATGGGGGACTGGGTATTTGTATTTGTATTTTTTAAAGGATGTGCTCCCTTCGGCAATCTCCCCATGTGCACCTGCTACCTGCTGTATAAGAACGGCCTGTGGGGGCCGCCTGGGTGGCTCAGTCGGTTAAGCATCTGCCTTAGGCTCAGGTCATGATCTCAGAGTCCTGGGATACAGCCCTACTGGGCTCCCTGCTCAGTGGGGAGTCTGCTTCTCCCTCTCTCTCTGCCCCTCCCCCTCCACCCCCGCTCATGCTCTTTCTCTCAAATAAATAAAATCTTAAAAAAAATAAAAAGAATAGCCTATGGGCACACCATGGACCCTCTGTGTTCTGGCTCCAGACTGAGCCTCAGAACAAGCCCCTCTGCTCTGGCCCAACCTGCTTAGGGAGGAGAGTGCAGGCCCAGCCTGTGGCCAACACCCTGTCTAGCTTTGCCTCAGCTGTATGTGGTTCTCTGTCCCCTGCCTCCTATTTGTGGTGGCCCCCACTGGAGAGGCGGTCCCCAACAGGCGGTGGTCCCAGGAGATTCCCAGTGGTCTCAGGAGATTCCCAGACCCTACCCTGGGCTGTGAACCACACATGGGCCAGCTTAGCTCCCAATAACCATCTCCGGGTCTGTAGGGCCCCTGCTGGATTTAACCCAATCTAGGACTCTGTAGAGTTGGCAGAAGATACCCACTGACTCTGGGTGACTCTGTATTTCCCTTGGCTGGCATATTCCTTCTTTGCCTCTCCAAAGTGGGAAGTGTGATCTTGGGTGTCCTAATAATGTGATCTCTGAGGCCCTACCTTGCTGGAGACATGAACCGCCCCCCCCCCGCCCCCTGCCCAGTTACCTTCTGTTCTGTCTTGACTTTGGCATTGTAGAAGGAGATGGAGTCAGGGCCCTCTGGCAGCATCATCTGCTGCAGCTGGCTGAACTTGTCCTGGTCATCTTCTCCCTAGGGGAGGCTCAACTCAGCATAGTCCCTTCAGCCTGCCATTGTTAGGAACTTCCCTGACAGGGCCTGGAAGGGCGGGGGGCATCAGGGCAGCCCCTTGCAGGGTTTGTAAACCCCCATGCAGGGTAGCTCACAACCCCTGGTCCCATATTTGCCAGACATCCTGTAGCTGCCACCTGGGCAGGATGAGCCACCCCGGAAAGGTGGCAATAGCAAGTGATGTTTTCTGTGTCCCCATCCTCCATAACTGGGGAGACCTGGACCTGTCCAACTGCCTGGGCCAGCCGTGGGAGAGGCTGGGAGCAGCCTATACACGGCCATGTTTGCGGAGAAAACAGAGGACAAAGGGTACTGCCCACCAACCTGTGCTCATCCACTGTCCCCACACTGGCCCCTGTGCCACTCACCAGAGCCACGAGCCTGCTGATAGGCACCATGCCTGGCCGGATGCCACTAGCTGGCTTCAGTGACACTTGCATGTCCTCGGGGATGAAGAAGGACTCGTTGTACCAGATATCAAATTCTGCAAGGAGGCAGGAAGACAGCACTGTGAGGTGTTGGGGAGGCCCTGAGGAAGCAGGTAAAGCCTGTGTGTGTGCCTGTCACAGGCTCACCCTGTTCTTCGCTTCCTGCTCTAGGGTCTCACCCTTTCCTGTCTCCCTCTCCAGTTCTGAGTCCTGGAAACACTTCAAAGCCCCTGTCCAGCCCCAGCTGTCAGAGAGAAGCTCTGAAGCCGCTTCGAGAACCCAGGTGGTGGCCTTGCCCTCTGCCTCCCGGGACATCAGGTGGCCGGCCGACCTTCCCAAATGGCACACCCATGAGCAGGCGGTGGCGACACTGATCCACCAAGTGCTGGCAGTACTGGATCTCAGCCCTGAGGTCACGCAGGTCCTGATACTCAGCCCGGTACTGCTTCTTGAGGTCTTTGAGCTTCAGGATCATCAGGAATTCCTCCTCGTCGATGATCATCAGCCCCTTGCTCTCATACTCGCCTGCAGGGACACAGGAGGTCAGAGAACGAGGTGTTCACTTGGGGCGTGGGGAGGGAGGAATTCTGGAAAGAGGGAACAAAATGCTGGCAAAACACGAAGACCAGACACCAGAGGAAGGGCTGGGCTGTGGGGCCGGGGTGGGCAAAGCACGAGGAGGCCAGGCCACCAGGCCACGTCTCACCGGAAGAGGGAGTTCAGCTCAGAGGGGGCCACAAGGGCAACTTTAAGAACAGGAGGGGTGCGCAGGGGAGAGGGTAGAGATGGCGCATGCTTCACACTTATTTTGGTCTCAAACCTTACTGGCCAAACATAGTTCGGGAGTCACCTCAATTAAATGGATGTCTACCTTTTTTGTGAGTCATATACATGAACTGCCACCACGGGCTAGTACCACAAGGCACCTGGGCAAGGTTATTAAGAACAGAGCGTGTAAATCTGTATTATGTCAAGAGGCTGTAAGAGGCTCCAGGAGGAGAGGGGTTAGTTGTGCTATCTGTCATCTCATGGTCTCGGCATGAGCTTTTAAGGTCTGTCAGATGAGGGTTGCTGAGTTAAGACAAAATAACATGGTCTGTGGAGCCATTCACTCAGCCGGCCACTGCCCACGGGACCTAGAAAGCTCACCACAGGCATCATGTCAATCGCACCAGGGCTGTGGGGCTTCCACCCTAGGGAACCCGGGAAAGTGAGGAGGGGAGGCGCATAAGGCAGTCTCCAGGTGTCCTTCCACTGATACTCAGTGGGGAAAAATTAAGGTACACTGTCACACCATTTATGGACAGGCAATTAGAATCTTGAATTGGTCCCAATTCAGGAAGTCTAGAGAGGGAGGGTACAGAGTGGCCCCCCCCCCAGGTCCCTCCCCTTCAGTGCAGAGCGGCCTGGTCTGTGTGCTGTGGGCAGTCCCCAGTGTGGTCACTGTGATAGACACAAGTCCTTTACAAAGTAAAGTCTTTACAGTATTCTGATGACAGGGGGAGGGACCGTGAACACCTTGTGTCCCACCGGGGGGTTCTTGGATTATTGCCAAGGAAAAAACTTCAAAGAGTTGAACCTAAAATGATTTTTCATTTTTCTTTCACAAAACACTAATTAACATGCCAAATTTGCTGACCTGGCTGGGCCAATAAGTGGCTATCAATCAAAATGAATCAAAAAACAAATTTACCTGATCTATTCCCTCAAGATAAAAGTATTTTATTTAGTATTTTAACAACCAATGGGAAAACAACTCATGTTGGGGGGAAAGAGCAAAAATGTGTGTTTTTGGGCACCTGGGTGGCTCAGTCAGTTAAGCGTCTGCCTTCCGCTCAGGTCATGATCCCAGGGTCCTGGGATTGAGCCCCTGCTTCTCCCTCTCCCTCTGCCCCCCACTTGTGCTCGCTCTCTCTCTCTCAAATAAAATCTTTAAAAAAATGTTTTTATACTGATAGATAAAATTTTAAATATTTTATTTCATTTTATTTATTTGAGTAATCTCTACACCCAACATGGGGCTCGAACTCAAGACCCTGAGATCAAGTCATATGCTCTTCCGACTGAGCCGGTCAGGCACCCCCAAATTTTAACTATTTTAAAATATTGTTTGTTTAATCTTCATCTCATTCCTTAAAAATATCTGTTTTCAAGAATATTTAGGCATAAATGATATGTCAGCATAGCATGAATATGTATTATTTAAGATATGTAAATAGGTAATAAGAAGTTGCATAGTCTAAGAAGGTGCGGGCAGAAGGGACAAAGAAGTCCTTGGTCCCGTAAGATCTTCACCCTGGAGGTTCTGGGTTGGGGCCTATCTGGAGCTACCATGACCAGCCCTCCCCCATGCCCACACCCATGGAGGCTTAGCCCTCTGGAATAGTGCGTCACAGTTGGTCTGTAGAGTATGAGCAAAGTGGCCTCACGAATTTGAAGTTGCCCTCTGAGACGTAAATGAGTAAAGTGCACATCTCACTGTGAGATGAGCCACCTGGCCTGCAGAAATAAAACAAATGACATCTGCAGATGCCCCGACGGATCACTGCCTAGGAAGTCCGCCTGGAATAGGGCTGTGATTTAGCCAGGGAAAGCCCAGTAACCTCCAATGTGCCCTGTCGGGAGGACAGTGGAACCAGCAATGTGAACAAGAATGTGGCTTCTGAACCTGTGGCCCCAGAGTCAGGATGGTTACTCATTAAAATGCAGGTTCTGGGCCTTGCTCCAGATCGCCTGAGTTAGAACCAGTAGTCAGGGCCTAGGAGTCTGTGTTTGATCAGCCCTCTCCGATAAGTCCTCCGCACACTCAAGGTGTGAGGGCACCTCAGGGCAGTGCTGAGCGCTGTCCGCCACTGGGACAAGGGCACCAGGGTCAGGGTAACCAGTGAGCACCCTCCCCACACTGAGGTCCCTGCTCTCTGAGCCTGAGGACCCCCCCCCACACACACACATACCACCTGCCTTAGGAGACTAGACTTTGCCAGGCCAGCATGGGTGTTGAGGATTTGGCATGAGGAATGATCTCAGTGACAATGACTCCCTAGGCCCTCTGGTACCCATATTCTCTTTCCCTCCTCAGTTTCTTGTGTCTTAACCAGCACCCCCATGCCAATCAGACTACCCTGGCCAGTGAGGAGACCACACGAGGACCTAGGGCCCTTGTGGGGGTCACCAGCTGCCCATCTCCCTGGGGAGGCCTCTATAAAACCAAAGGCCTGCTTCTCCACTGGGAGCAGCACATATCAGGGAGAAGGCCCAGCACTTAGGTCTGAGATAACAAAATAATGGGAGACCCACAGGCGAAGGCTGACTGACAGGGAAGGAGCCTAAGCCTCCCCGGGGCTGACTAGAGCCACATGATGACCCAGGCGTGAAGACCACACTTCCACATGCCCTGCTGGCCCCCACCCACCTCAGTCTCCTGTGCCCAAGACGGCCCTGTTTAGAGCAGGATGACTCAGCTCCCACAGCCCCCGGCCACCTTCCTACCACATTCACCTTGCTTCTCCCGGAGTGACTTCTGAAAATTTAGTGCCTCCTTGGTCATGTCCATCTCCCGCTTGATGGCATTGATGCGCTGTGTGGTCTCACTGGCCCTTTTCCTCCGCTCGTTCAAGATGGACTTGTTCTCTTTGAAGATGCGGTTGATCTCACTGCCCCGCTCATTCTTAAAGTCCTCAAAGGCCACAGGTTTGGGGGGTGGGGTACTGGGCCTGAAGACAGAAGGGGAGGGGAAGGGGAGCCAGAGCCCAGCACCTCGCCTCTCTTCCCGGGGGGAGGAGTGGGGGGCTTCTGTGGGCCGGAGGCCAGAACTCCCAGGCACCCTGTGCAGGAACCACTCCCCAGTCTCCGTCTCTCCCCGCACGCAAGGACACGTGACCACAGCAGAAAGTGAGGACAGCAAGGAAAAGCGTAGGAAACAGAAAACAAAGCAAAAAACCATGCACTACCTACTGGCAACTACACCTTGGTGTATCTCCTTCAGGGATTTCTTTGATACAATGTTTGAGGTCATGCAGTAGATATAATTTTACATCTTACATTTTTCACAGAGGCATTCCTTCATGCTCTAAGGCACTCTGAGAACTCTGGTTAATGAGATGTAAGGTGAAGTGTTGGGGGCCAGGGGGTGTGGACTGTCTGCAACTTCCTTTGAAATGCATCAAGAGGCGCCTGGGGGGCTCAGTCAGTTGAATGGCTGGCTCTTGGTTTTAGTTCAGGTCGTGATCTTGGGGTTCTGGGATCGAGCCCTGCGTCGGGCTCCCTGCACAGCAGGGAGTCTGCTTCAGGATTCTCTCTCTCTGTCCCTCCCCCTGCTCATTCACACTCTCTCTCAAATCAATGAATCTTAAAAAAAAAAAAGTTAGGGGCACCTTGGCTCAGTCAGTTAAGCATCACCTTTAGCTCAGGTCATGATCCCTGGGTCCTGGGATCGAGTCCCGCATCGGGCTCCTTGCTCAGCAGGGAGTCTGCTTCTCCCTCTCCCCCTCCCCACTGCTTGTGTGTGTGCTCTCTCTCTCGAGTTCTCTCTCAGATAAATAAATAAAACCTTTAAAATATAATAAAAAAATTTTAAAAAGTTAAAAAAAAAAAAGAAATGTATCCAAAAAATAAGAGGGATGGAGAGAAAGACAGATGCATGATGAAGTAAGTAATGTGTTAAATGTAGAATCAAGTGGGTGTTTGCTGTACAGTACTTTCAACTTCTCTGAGTTCTTGGAAATGTTCACCTGCTGGGGAAAAAATTCTTCATGCACATCCTCGTACATCCCAAGGGCAGAGATGATAATTCACTTAGTACCTTTTCCGTAATGTTAGCTACTGAAAGTGTTTCCCAAAATTGTTTTTGGCTTTTTAAATTAATGATGCAATGAACATCCGTTTGCATAAATCTCTGTCCACATCTCTGTTTCCTCAGGATACATTACTGGATACTCAATTGCTGGCTCGCCAGGGAGAGGAACTGAGTAGCTATAGAGGAAGGGGTCTCATGCCTTGAGAATTTGGGGCCTTTTGAACGCTTTAGTTATTTTTTTCAATGTAAATGTAATTATTTAAATAACTGCTATTTGAAGGGCCTAAAATGATTCCATGTATAACTGCATATATTGGAGGACTCCTGAGGTGGGACCATTTCACCTGTGGATAAGCCATCACGTTGCTTCTTTCTGGACTGTGCTCCTAGTCTTTGCCTATTATCCCCTATTTTATTTCTCATCTATCTGCAGGCGCTCTTGACATCCTGAGGATCACACTCTGGTTTTGAATGATCTGGTGAACTTGCATGAGGTGTTACTTACCTGGGTGGGCGTGATTCCTCCTTCGGGGAGTCTGAGGGAAGAGGCTCAATGCTGGAGGTCTCCCGGTCCCGCAGAGGCAGCTCTTTGACATCCCCCTCCTTGGAGGACAGGGTCAGCTGGGTCTTGGAGGTAGAGACCTCCAAATCCTTGCCACTCACAGGGCTGCTGGCACCTTCCTTTTTTGCTGAGGAGCTGGAAGGAGAAGGCAGGGAGGCCCCAGGGCTCAGTCATGGGCAGTAAGGTGTCTCTGGTACTTAGGGGAGTGACATTTCCAAACCCTCAGACATCAGAAGTCCCATCCCAGCCAGGAGACACCTGGGAAAACTAGGCAGGCTCCAGGTCTGAAAGCAGCTGGACCTGTGGGGCGGGCCACAGGCTCCCGGAGCATCCGGGCTGCTGAGGTCTTGATCACACAGGCCTCCCGGGGAACGGGTGGCAGAGCTCCCACCCAGGGTAGGTCTGTCTGCGGACCAAAGGTAAAGCAAGACATGTCTGCCCTGCTGCCCTGACCAGTCCACGACCTGCTCTCCCGCCTCCACGAGTGCCCACACCCACCCCCAGGAAAGTAGCTGCCCTCGCTCTCCAAGTGATGGTGCCCAGGGTCTTCCTCCTCAGAGAGGCACATCTGAGCCGGCCTGAGCCATCAGGAGGAGGCCAGGGGCCTCGGCAACCCCTGCTACCCGACTCCTGTTCTGCATGGAACAGTTTTCTACAGTCAGCTCTGGCCTGTGTTTCTTTAGCAGATGGAATAACAGCAACACCACATTCGCACTGCCTACTTTCTAGGTACAGGGACTGCCTTCACCCATTTATCTTCCCAATAACCCCCCTGACTTTGAAGCTACTATTAGGATTCCCAATTTAGGGAGAAGGAAATGGAAGCACAGAGAGGCTGTCATGCCTCCCATGAGGTGACCCCTTTAGTGAGAGGAGCCTCCTAGAGCCTGTGTTCACGTCCACCACTACCAGCATCTTCCAGGGACGGCATCTCATTAAGTGAGCCTTGACACTCCTCTCACCCGGCACACACAAATGATTCTTGTCTGGAAGGTGAACTGGGGTTTTTAGGTGACATGAGTACCAGGGAGCTGGGTCACAAAAGGACTCCGGTTAGGGGTGGTTTCCGCATGTAGTACTGGGGGTAGGGGGGTGCTAGCCCGGCTTCTCTCTTCCACTCTATCACTCCTCAGTGGTGTGACCTTGGGAGTGATTTCGCCTCTCCGAGCTTTGGTATCTACATCAGTAAAATGGAGACATGAACTCCTACCTCCTGGGGTTGCTGTGTGGACAAGAGGTAACCAGCACAGCCTGGGCCCCACAGATGTTGCTAGTATTGGCAGGCAATACGAGCAACTGGGACCACCCAGTAGCGAAGACACTAGCTTGTGTCCTCTCTTTCACCAGCCAAGGAGGGCCAGATGCTCAGCAGGTAAAGCAACAGGAAGGTTCCTCACCTGAGCTGTTCTTTGAACGTCTTCTTGGACTTGGATTTCTTCCCAGGTTTGGTAGAGTAAGGGATGACCCCGAGTCCGAAGCCTTGTCCATCAGGCTCACCCACTAGGTGGCCATCAACGTCCACAAGCCCTGCCTGGAGAGAGGCCAGCCACAGGGCCGAGGGTTAGATTAAGGGTTTTGGCCTGTGGGGGACCCAAGTATATATGTACCCAGGTGGGCATGTTCACCCCACACGCCAAGATAGCAGGCCTAGGCTGCTAGCTTCAGGCTATCTCCAACAGCACTATCTCTGATCACCCTACCAACATCCATGTTCCACATCAAATCCACTCGATGGTCTGGTGTCTCCTTGAGGATCTTAAGGCCCGTCTCCAACCTAACTCCAGGAATTGGTCTTGTTTATGGTCATGTCTCCAACATTGTAGATCATTTTGAATTCATATATGGTTTACTCTTGCATGGGTCCCACTCAACCTGGTGTTACCATTATCTGTTGCAACCCCAGATCTGCTCTAATGCGGAACACCTGCTGTTTCTGGAAAGGTCTGGAGGTGGAAAAAGTCTGACATGAATGCTATCAACAAGAAGCAACCATGCATACCTTCTGGACTGCAGAGATGGCAGCAAAGTCATTCTTGTCTATGAGGGTGTATTTCCTGCGCAAAGTGGACTCCACTTCCTGTTCCTGTTGGCTTGAAAGAGAGAATGAGAGAACACCTCGCACTTTGGCGCTAGGCTGAACCTTCCAGAGCAAGAACCAAGTATGGGAATTAGAAGTCATTTGGGTGTGGCCCCTTGGGATGGAACCATACCCTCATCATGAACCAGACTAGACCAAACAAGCCCATTCCACACCCCGATTCCTCAGGGCACACACCCACTGTCCAGCCCTAAAATCCGCAGTGGCCACCCTTATGTGCCAGGCACTTCTGCTCCAAAACTTTAACAAGGACTGTAAGCCTGCCTCAGGACCATGCTTTCCCACCCAGGTTCTATCTTTACAAGGCCCTTGGGAATCATGTGACCCATGTCTGTGCTACTACCCAGCATGAGCTGCTCAGTCTACAGGTGTGTCTGCACCCAAATAAACTGCAAATGACTCCTGAAGTGGGAGTTGAGCACAGGGTGTATTCACGATGCCCTGCTCTGGCCACACTCAGAGCTGGTACTCCAGAAGGACCCCCCGTCTAATTAATGAACTCAGGAAACACCCACCAGGGACTACTTCCTCTCTGAGCTGTCCTTGATTGGAGGGCTCTCCTCCCCGCTTCCCCCAGGGGAAAGGGAGGGCTGGAGGATCTGAGAGCTCAGGGGCCTGGGCACACCCCAAGGACTGTGAGCTGGCTTCTCACCCATGAGAAACAGGGCAGTGTGCTTAGAGGCCACACCTTGACCATGGGAAATGAAAAAGGCAGCCTGATGTAGGAGTCAGGTGGGTGGGTGGGGGTCCCTTACCTCAGCACCACCCGGAACTGGTTGAACACCTCCTGGATCTGTCTGAGGTTGATGATCTGGAGGGAAGACAGCAGGGCAGAGAGGTTGGGCTTCAGGCAGCACAGGACTGAGGGTGTGTCTATGGTTAGTAGAGAAACCAGGACTCTTCGGCTAACCCTTGATCATCTGCCTTAAGAATGGAACATCTGAAATCTCCTCAAGAACAGAGAAACGGGTGCCTGGGTGGCTCAGTAATTGGGCATCTGCCTTCAGCTCAGGTCATGATTTCCAGGTCCTGGGATTGAGCCCTGCGTCGCGCTCCCAGCTCAGTGGGGAGCCTGCTTCTCCCTCTCCCTCTGCTTCTCCCCCTGCTTGGCTCTGTCTCTCTCTCTCAAATGAATAAATAAAATCTTAAAAAAAAAAAAAAAGAACAGAGAAACAATTGATTCATAGTTTTCAAACTAAGTATTTACTGAGGTTATAAAAATGACCTTCCCTGGAGCTCCTGAGTGGTGCAATCAGTTAAACAGCTGACTCTTGGTTTCGGCTCAGGCTGTGATCTCAGGGTCATGAGATGCAGCCCCGTATCAGGCTCCATGCTCAGCGGGGAGTCTGCTTGAGATTCTCTCTCCCTCTCCCTTTGCCACGCTTGCATGCTCACGCTCTCTCTCTCAAATAAATGAATCTTTAAAAATTACCTTTTCTAAGTGAAGGTCTCTATAAAATTAAAATGACTCTAGTTCTTGAAAATACTAAGAAAAAAATTTTAATAAAATTTATGGTCTTCAGCTCTCTCCTTCAGCTCTCTCTCTTGTTTCTACAAGGTTCCGTTATGAACTTTCTGTGTGGCACATACACATCTGTGGCTAGAAGAAGGCCAATGGCTTCCCTCTTGGCCCTACAGACCACAAGCATTACCCTTGCTGGAGGGTCATTCTGGGACTAACCCTCCTCCAAGGCCAGAAGAGCCCACCGCTGTTGTCCCAGGCCTGCCAGTTATAGCTGCCACAGTAACAGGCCTGGGGTGGGGGTTGGGGGGTGATCTGCCATGTAGCTCCTTGATGAGGGGTTTGCTGGCCTGCACTGTAAAAACAGAACGCATCCTTCTCTCTGAGGACCCTTCCCTGTGTGGCTGCGGTCTCTTCCTCCTTGGCCTACTCCAACACAGGCCCTGCATGTCTGCCCTGTCAGCCCGCATGACCATCATCCTTGAATGACCTCACTCCGCCCAGCACAGCTGAGCACCTGAGCTGCGGCAGCTCAGTTAATTCCACTTTGGTTTCCCTCCTCACTCCAAGTACAGGAGGTTGAGCGTTTTGCTGAAGTCACTCAGCAAGGAGACAACTGAGCTGAGATGTGATCCGGGCAGCCTGGCTCCAGGGACCACACCTGTGCCTGGGGTGATGGACCACCCCTGTGTGGTCAAGTGTGTTCAAGGCTGCTGGCCACTCTGAGGGGCACACCCATCCTTGTAACCCTAAACACAGATGCTGAGTCCTCGGTAGGCTGTAGGGCCCGAGGCCAGGGGTCCAGCACCACCCACCCCATACCCACCGCACCCACTTGGTGTGAAGTTCCAAGGCCAGCACAGCACAAGGGGGGGATGCCCAGGAAAGGGAAGGCATGGTCCCAAGGAAAGGCTCCTTACGTCAATCTCATCCAGGGTCCCCTCCAGGTACCTCCGCACCTGGGAGTTGATCTCAGCAATCTGAATTTCATCCATGGGATCATAGTTCACAAGGGTACGGTTGGCCTTGGAGGAGGATGAAGAACATGCCAACAAGCTCCAAACACCTGAGCCCAACAGGGGCAGCAGGGGTCATTCTGAGAACCGTTCAGGGGAGGTTGGACACAGGGCAGGACCACTGGGTCCTGGCCAGGTGTTCGGGTCACAGAGGGACAACTGGGTCTCGAGAGCCGCCTGACATGGGCTTGCCACTTCAAGCAAGGGGGGCTCTGCTGGCTGAGTCTCAGCACACTCTGTAGCATGAGGGCCATGGGAGGAGGGTGGCTGCCTCTGCCTCAAGAGCCCCCCTGGACCGTGAGCAGGCCCAGGCAAGCCACCAGAGGTCTCCCATTCCCACTCTCTGCCCTCAGGGCCCTCTGCTGCCGCCCCCTCCCTCACTGCCCAATCTGCCCCACCTCCCCTGACCTTGACCATCATGCTCTCTGCCCCTGCCCTAGCTGCCTGGCACCTGGCCCCATGCCCCTCGTTCTCCTGTCAACTGTCTGCCTCCGCTCCCTGATATCTGACACCCCTGCCCACATCCTCCTGCTCTTCTAGGATCCCTGCCCTCCAGGCATTCCTGCTCCCCAGGCCCCCTGGCCAAGTCTCCCTGCCTACTTGGCCCTCCCACCCATCTGGCTCCTGTCCACCCAGTCCCTCTGCCCACCTGGTACCCTGACCCGAGCCCCTCTAGCAGTCCAGCCAGCCCCCACTCCAGACCCCTGCCTCAAGCCCCTTACCAGGCTGTCATGGATGGCCAGCTCCTGCTTGAGCAGCACCAGCTCCTTCTCCAGGTTCTTGACCATTCGCTGCCAGAAAACAGTTTGGGGAGGGGCAGGGAGGCCAGTCACAGAGGCCACCCTGCCTCTTCCATATCAAGCCCACAATTCCCTAACCTATGCCTGGACATCCCGGCCCCTCCTGGAAACCCATGGGGTGTGATGTCAGCATCTGGACAATTCCCTCCCCGCTGGTGACTTTTCCCCAACTGGGGTGAGTTTAGGGTCTGCGGGGGCCTCAGCAGTCCCCTGGCCTCTGCCTCTTACAGCAGCGGAGACAGAAGAGAGTGAGCACAGGAACCCACAGGGCAACCTCACACCACAACTCCCGGGAGCTTCAGATTTCTAGTCTACCAGGGCGATGGCCCTCTCAGTGCAGCCCACTGCCACCAGGATGCTTTCCAACACAGCCGTACCTTCTACCCTCATCCTTCCCAACCACTGCACAGGCATGTCACTGTTCCCTGCTGATAATCAGGTACGTCACCTCTAATATTTTTGCTGCTACAAACAACAGTGCACAGCATTTTTGTCCTTCTATCTTTGTGTCTTTCTAGGTTTTTGTAGGGTCACACAGGCTCTTTGTGACCTGCCCCCATTACTTCTTCCCTACTGTTCCCCTCCCCCAGCTCATTCCAGTCCTACCAAATTGGCACACTCCCGCCTCTGCCTTGCCTATCCCCTCTGCCCAGGACACTCTTCCCCCAAGTATTGCCCTGGCTCACCCCCACACCTCCTTCAAGTCTTTGTTCAAAAGCTTCTAAATTAGGCACACTTCAATCACCCCACCGAAAACTGCAATCCCCTCCCCACCCCCACACCACTCTTTTTTGCAAATCTTGCTCTAATTTTTTTCATAGCACCTATCACCAACATACCCTAGAGCAGTGCTGTTTAATAGAACTTTCTGTAATGATGGAAATGGTCTGTATCTGTGCTGTGAGCTACATGTAGCTACTGAACACTTGAATGTCACTAGGGTGACCCAGGAAGTGAACTTTTAATTTGATTTAACTAATTTAAATAGCCCCAAGCAAGTAGCAGCTACTGTACTGGATGGTGGAGCTCTAGAACTTAGCTATCTCTTTTTTTTTTTAACATTTAAAGAAATCTTTAAAGAGAATCGTACACAGGCGTACCTGATTTCATTGCACTTTGCTTTACTGAACTTCCCAGATACTGCATTTTTTTTTTACAAATTGAAGGTCTGTGGCAACCCCAGTTCAGGCAAGTCTATTTTTCCAACAGCATTTGCTCACCTCATGTCTCTGTATCACATTTTGGTGATTCTCATAATATTTCAAACCTTTTCATTTTTACTATATTTGTTATGTGATCTGTGTTCAGTGATTACGACTCGCTGAAAGCTCAGATGATGATTAGCAATTTTTAGCGATAAAGTATTTTTTTAACAGTTATTTACTTATTATTATTATTATTATTTTTTTTTTTTGCGTAGGCTCCCCGCCCAGCATGGAACCCAACATGGGGTTTGAACTCACACTCCTGAGATCAAGACCGGAGCTGAGATCAAGAGTTGGATGCTCAACCGACTGAGCCACCCAAGTGCCCCATCGAAAAAGCATTCTTAAATTAAGGTATGTACATTTTTTTTAGACACAATGCGACTGCACACTTAATAGACTACAGTATAATGTAAACATAACTTTTATAGGCACTGGGAAACCACAAAATTCATTTAACTCACTTTATTGTGATAGTCAGTATATTATAGTTGTCTGGAACTGAACCCACGATATCTCTGGAGGTATGAATATTTAAGGTGTACAACATGATATACATATACATAGTGAAATGATTACTACAGTCAAGTTAATTAACATATCTATCTCCTCACCTAGTGACCATTTTTCTGTGTGTGGTAAGAGCTTCTGAGGTCTACTCTCTTAGCAAATTTCCAGTATACAATATTATTAACTATGGTCACCATGTTATACATTAGATTCCCAGAACTTATCCATTCCATAAATGAGAATTTGTGCCCTTTGACCAACATCTCCCCTTTCCTCGGCCCCTGCCCCTACTCTTCGTAACCACTGCTCTATTCCCTGCTTCTATTAATCTGACCTTTTAGGTTTACATATAAGTGAGATCATGCAATATTTTTCTTTCTGTATCTGGTTTATTTCACTTGGCGTAATGTCCTCCAGGTCCATCCGTGTTGTTGCAAATAGCAAGATCTAGACTCACTTCCTTTTTTTTTTATATATAGTTTATTTAAGTAATCTCTATATCCAACGTGGGGCTCAAACTCACAACCTGAATATCAAAAGTCACATGCTCTCCCAACTGAGCCAGTCAGGCAGCCCTAGACTCCCTTATTTCTTTTATTTATTATCTCTCTCTCTCTCCCACCCTCAGCAGACCATCAGCTCTTTGAGGACAGAGATCTGTGTGTTTATTTGTATACTAACACTCCAAGTGCTTCAAAAAGTGTCCGGCACATGGTAAGTGCTCTGTAGATTTCAAGTGAATGGATTAATGATATTTCTAGAAACAGGACTGCTGAGTCATTTTACAGTTGATAGATACTGCCCTAGAGTCTTTCAGATGAGAGGTACAAGGGATTTTATGCTGAGAATCTTCACTGTGAAGAGGGCTTCCTTCAGTTGTCAAAAAATGGCCACTGGGGGCGCCTGGGTGGCTCAGTTGGTTAAGCGACTGCCTTCGGCTCAGGTCATGATCCTGGAGTCCCGGGATCGAGTCCCGCATCGGGCTTCCTGCTCGGCAGGGAGTCTGCTTCTCCCTCTGACCCTCCCCCCTCTCATGTGCTCACTCTCTCTCATTCTCTCTCTCTCAAATAAATAAATAAAATCTTTAAAAAAAAAAAATGGCCACTGGAGGGAGCTCCTGACAACTGGATCCTGGGACTGGTGACCAAAGCTGTGACCAGTCTGCAGCAAGGGGTGACAGAACCCTGGCATCCTGGTGGCTCTGTGGCAATTCAGGGCACAAAGCCTGGGACTCAAAGCACATGACCAGGGTCCAAATCCTGGCTCTGCCCCTCTGGGAAGCCCCAAGATGGTCTCTTTCAGGTAGACTTCCTATGAGGCAACGGGAGAGGCTTGGTGGCCAGCCCCTCCTCTCAGCTGAGGGATCTCCACTCTGGAAGAGACAGCATGCCCAGCTAGGGAAAGTCTGCTTGCACCGTTGAGGGTCCCCAGCGGGATGACAGCCCAGTGTGGCATGGGGAGCCGGGCTCAGATCTCTGGGCCAGTCAGGTGATGTGGGAAATGGGCCATCGGCTCCCAGGGTAACCAGCCTCCACGTCACATCTTGAGAGCATAGGAGCTGCTTCTCCTAATGCCCAGCAGACTTAGTGGCCTCCACCTGGACCCCTGTACTGATTGGAGAAGCTGCTCAGAAACACAGGGCTAGAGCAGCAGACCCCACAGAACAGGACCTGGCAACACCTCCTGGCTGACTGACTCCCTTTTTTTTTTGGTACCCTAGGTAGAACACAACACCTGACCAACTCCTTTAAAGGTCAGGGACATTTTCTGGATGGAATCAGCACAGACTCACATGAGTTTCCTGATGGTCAGGGGTTTTCAGCATAAACGTAATGAGGATAATTCAGAAAGTTCTGTTTAAGTAGCACACCAAGCTAGGAGTGGCTCTCTGCCCAGGAAGCTTCCCTCGTTGACCTCCCGCTCCCTATGGCCTGCAGGCCCTCTCTTCTCTCAGCAGAGCAGAATACCAAGTGTCTCTCTGTTGCTTGTTTATGCCCGAGGCTCGCCAATTTTTACACCCCCTCACAGAATCACAGACTCCCAGAGCGGGAGGGTCACTGGAGTTCATCAGTCCAACCCCTCGTTCAAGGGTGAAAACTCCGAGGCTCAGAGACAACTGGTGGCAGAGGCAGATGAGGAATCCAGTCTCCCGCCTTACAACCAGCCCCACCGCCAAGGAAATTCTGTGGAAGCTCCCCCACCACCTTGAAAACAGGCATCGATGCTGAGAATGGCGCTAGAAATAACATAGGCAGGCTGGCTGTAGTCCAGGGAAGGGGGCCACCAAAGTAATTTCTCAGGTCTCTCTCAAGAGCTCATGCTCATAAATGCTGATCATAAAGATTATAAACATGGTCACGTTGGATGTCATGGAGACTTGGTTGGCCAGGACCAATAATGCCCATTTCAGAACAAAAATTACATGGAAGGGCACAGAAGTTCCTGCACAACGCCTACTACCCAGCCAGGTTTGCACACGGCGATGCGGGGGTCCCGAGCTCAGAGAACACCAGACGGAAATAAATAAAACCTCCAAGCTACAGAAAAGCATAGTAAATAATGCCATGAAACATGGGAAGACCACCCCAAAACCTGACTTGAACAGCATGCTGCCCTATTGGCTTCAGTTTTTTTGTTTTTCATTTTAAGAGCTAAAACATGGCAGATAAAAATGAAGCCCCTATGAACCTCACTCTAAGTCCATCCCCCCTGACATCCCAGAGGGAACCCCCAGCCTCGGTTTGGTCTTTCCACCCCCATGCTTTTTTCTTTCACTGCACTCGCATCTATCCATTAATGATATTCAGCTTTGCTTTGCACATTTTTAGATTCGGTGGAAATGACAGAGGCTACCGTTTGGCCCGCTGCAATCCCACTTGAGATTATCTATGCTTGCAGCTCGAGCCCCGGCTCCCTCCCTCCGTGACTCACTTAGCTACTCTCCTGTTAATTAAAGGCTACTGATCACGGCCCCAACTTCTCACTACACAATGAGCAGCACGAGCTCCGTTCTGCTCCAAGGCTGTTCACATACATATGCAAAGAGTGCTTCTAGATTGTCCACCCAGAAAGGGACACTGCTGACCTGTACGAGTGAGTAGAGGACTAGCTAAAATATTTATTGAGCATTTACTCCATGACAGCACTGTGTTAAGGGGTTTCTCCCCGTTATCTTATTCTTCACAACATCTCTTTGAGAGTGGATTCCGCTACTTCTCCAATTTATAATCAAAGACCCCGAGGCTTAGAACGGATAAGCATCTTGCCGAGGTTAGGCAGCTCATGGAAGGAAAGAGCAGGTGGCCGCACCAGGACAGCCCGATGTGGGGGCCACAGCTCTTGACTGCTATGCCAATGGTTCTCAAGTGTGGCCCCAGAACAGCAGTGGGGGACTTACTAGAAATGTGAATCCTTAAGCCTCACCCCTCCACCAATGGAATCAGAACTCCGAGAATGGGTCCAGTGAACTGCTATTCCAGAAGCCCGCCTGCGCGTGTTTGAGAGCCCACGGCTCTAAGCCACTCCCCTCCTCAGCCTCCAAGCCACAGGTTAGCTCCACAGAGCCATAGGGACCGTTATTTTCCGTCAGGATTTAGAATCTGGGAGGTTTAATTAACTACTTTGTCATGAGCTTAGGGCACGCATATGCTCCGGTCTCCGGTAACCATGATTCTACAAGCATCCCAAAGGAAAGCCAAATTATTGGTAAATGAGTTTTGATTTTGTTAGATGTTGCCAAAATGCTCTCCAAAGCAGCTATATGGATGACACTGGCCAGAAACAGACACGCACTCCTGTCTCTGCACATCCTCACCGTCATTCTCCATGATCGGAACAATTCTAGTTTTGGCTAGTGTGAGGGTGAAATTCCACTAAGCTTTCAACCTGCATTTCCCTGGTTAATGGTGAAACTGAGCATGCCTTCTGGTTGGTCAGCTGTGCTTGCTTAGAGGGATCATACAGGCTGGGGTGAAAGAGGTTTTGTAGTGACATAACCAGATGAGTCTAAGAGTTGGTCCACATTTATTTAACTCTGAAACAGTTAGCTCAAAGGAAGCCCCGGGTAGTCAGAGGCCCTGAAGCCTTACATATGAACTGGGTGGTAACCTGACCCTTTCACCTGTGTGCTGGCCCCCTAGGGTGTCTCCAGTGACTCTGAAGACTCTGGCCTGTCCCAGCGTGTAAAAGAACTGACCCAAGATTGCATGGGTATCTTTAGTTGAGGCAGGAAGGGAAGTCAGGCTTGTGTGATCCAGGCGGCACACCCACACACCTTCTCCACAGTGACACACCTGCCCACAAGCCCCTTAGTACCTCAGCATCATACTTTTCGTTGATGGCAGGCTCTGTGGTGACCAGCTTCATCCTGCTGGCAAACCGCAGGGAAGAAAGCTGAAAAACAGATCAGACAGCCCTCTATGTCTCTGGCCAACTGCTTGTGAGTGGAGATATTTGCAAAGCAGGTCAAAGGAGTCCACCAGGAAAGATGAATCTCTGCACATAGACATATTCCAAAGTGAAGTATGGGGTCTCCTTCTTGGGGGTTCCACCCGAGTCCCTCCGCAGGGGCAGCCAGGCAGGGGTAATTATGGCTGGAGGCCATGAGGCAGCCACATAAGCAGGCCCTTGAGAAACCGCTCCGATGCCGTGCCCCACTGCACTGCTGTTGCGTGCGAGGTGGAGGGCTGCTCCCTGGCAGGGGGGAACAGCCAGTGATAGCACAAGGCGGGCCCTGAGATCCCAACCTCACACCATGCCGGCTGACTCAGGGCCCTGAAACAGAGAGGCTTGGGCTGGGGGCGGGGGCGGGGAGTGGTTACCCAGGAGTGACCCAGAAGAAGGCCTGAAAGGGCTCTTCCTTCAAGCAGTCTGGTCTAGTGGTTAAGAACTCTGCCGCTGGGGCGCCTGGGTGGCTCAGTTGTTAAAGCGGCTGCCCTCACCTCAGCCCAGGTCATGATCCCAGGGTCCGGGGATCGAGCCCCGCGTCGGGCTCCCTGCTCTGCGGGAAGCCTGCTTCTCCCTCTCCCACTCCCCCTGCTTGTGTTCCCTCTCTCGCTGTCTCTCTCGCTGTCAAATAAATAAATAAAAATCTTAAAAAAAAAAAAAAAAGAACTCTGCCACTGACCAACCGCGCAACCTCAGACAGGTTGTGGAACTTCTCTGTAAAGTTGGAGCCTGGGAGGCTTAGTGAAGAGGTATGTAACGTGTTCTCTACAGAACTGGCCCACAGCGACCTCAGGAGGAGGCCCCTGTCACCGCAGCTGGAGCGGCCTCTGTGTGGGCCGGAATCAGGCTCTCCTGCTCCGAGCACAGCAGCAAGTTCGGCCAGGACTCCCTCGCTGCATCTACTCCCACACATATCACAAGCAGTGTCACTGAATAAAGCAACATGATCCTTGACAGGAACTGTGTGAAAGTTTTAAAGCATTTGAAAAAGAGAATCATTAGCTTCCACACCCCAACAGGCCTTTGTCCCAAACCCTTGAGGCCCCTCCAACAGCAGCTCTGGGCTCTGCGGGCGCCGCCCTGGGTGACAAAGCTCTGGGGATGGCAGGTACCAGGAGAGCTGCTTCCTGCGCGGTGACCATCTCAGGGGTGGGGATAAGGAGAGAGAGGGGCCTTCCGCTGTCCTGGAGGGCACTTCTCAACAAGGCAGTCAGGAGGCCCGATTTTCATACAGTTCCTCTTGGGGTTCACCTGTGCTTTGTCATGCTTTGAGACTGGGAGGATCCTGAAGCCTTCCTCTGGGGATGCTGGCTGCACGTCAGCAGGAGCTCCCTCCCGGCCTTCCGAGTCCCAGGGCACCCTCTCTGGACGTGCAGGGCTGGTTCCTAATGCAAGAAACTGGGAGGCCCTGCAGTGTGCCTAGAAAGGACCTGTTTCGCCTAAGTGGACTCTCCAGATGACTGAAGCCTGCCCTAAACACCCACACTTGACAAAACAAAATGCCTATGGAGAGCTTTCCAAATCTGCCTTATTTATGGTGAGTGGCCCTTCAGAGGAAGAAGGGAGCCCCCGCCAGGGGGCCCAGCTGCGTGAGCTCACCTACGTCACCGCCTCAGCCATTAGGGCCCATATGACTGCTTCTGATTCTCATAAGCTTGTCCCCTCCCAGGTCACCTGGGCCCTGCAGGCTGGTTAATCTCCCTGCGTCACAACTCTGGCCACAGCCCTCCCCTACTCAAACCCCATGACACCCCAGCAACCGGTGGAACAGCCACGGCATCAGCCTGGCCACCTGCACCCACGAGGCTGCTACTGTTTGTTCTCGCCCTCCCCTTCCCAGGCCCCCCCAGCAGTGGCCAGATGTTCCTCGCAAGGCCCACACCTTCCGGCCCACAGTCCCCTCTGCCAGGAGCATCTCTGCTTTCTGTACCACCCATCCTTTAACCCCAGCCGGCTCGGTGCCCACCCTCCTCACCCCAGTTTGAGGAAAAGTCCCGCTACCCCTAACGGGCTCCTTCATCTGGGCCTCTCACGTTCTTGAGGGCCATGGCAAGGAACTCTGAGGCCTCGGGCCACAGATAACTCACCTCTACCAAGCTGCTCTTCCCAGTACCCCCCACCACCTTGCACACAGCACATGCTTGTCACGTGTCAGCTCACACAGGCCTTATAACCACATGGTGCTTCTAAGATTTTCAAATGTGTAATTACAAGAAGAACAAGAAATCCACTGTCCTAGATCCCAATTCACAGAAGCAGCACCCCAGGCAGCATGGTCCTTGCCCCCTGCGAAACTCTCACACAGTCCCCCATACTCTGCCTGCTTCTTGCCTTGTCTCCTCCTCAACACAGCCTCTGCCCCTTGGTACTTGGTATATGGATCCTGCCTGGGCCTCCCGCAGCAATTTTGGCTGATTCATCCCCTGGATCCCTTCCCTCTTGACAATGTCTATGGCTAAGTATGCCAGCTTAGCCAGCCCAGAGCCACCCTTACCTAGCCCTGGAACCCGTGAGAAGGATTCCAACTAGGCCACACGGGCTGTCTTTACGTACCGTCTCTTCCAACTGGGCAGCTTCTCCATAGATGTTCGTCAAGAGGACCATATTGCAATTTCCCCCTGCAGAAAGCAGGACACAGAAGAGCCACGAACCATGTGGGTTTTCTGCCAAGAGAGTCCTTTAAGGCTGGTGGGCGTCTGTTTTGGATTGAGTGTTTGTGTCCTCTCAAATTCCTATGTTGAAGTCCTATCCCCCAATGTGATCCCACCTGGAGAGGGGGTTTGTGGGAGGTAATCAGGTTTAGATGAGGTGCTGAGGGCAGAGCCCCCATAATGGGATTAGTGCCCCTATAAGAGAGAAAGACCAGAACTCTGTCTCCCTTTCTGGTCCCTCTCTCGTTTCTTTCTTTCTCTTGACCATGTGAAGGCAGCAAGAAAGCAGGCGTCTACAAGCCAGAAAGAGAGTCCTCACCAGAAACCATCCATGCTGAACCTTGATCTGGGACTTGCAGCCTCCAGAGCCGTAAAAGATAAATGTCTGTTGTGCAAGCCCCCCAGGTCTGTGGTGTTTTGTTATGGCCACCCGAGCTGACACAGGCAGGGTCACAAGGGACACATCCAAGCATGTACGAGGCTGGAGGAGGGAAGGGAAGGGGAGAGGCCACTGGATGTACCTAAAAGGGGCGGGGGGCAACAGCAGAGGAGAGATGGCAATGGGGCAGGGAGGGGCAGGGCAGAGGGCTGTGGGCCAGGGCTTTGCTGCCGGCGGCACTCCATGAACAATCAGACACCCGTGACTGTGCCATCAGGCCCAACACGAAAGCCTGGAGACACAAGGATGAAAAGACAGAGGCCCCGGGCCTCTGTCAGGGAGACAGTAGGGGAAGAGAAGGCTGCATGCAAGAGGCCCACCACCCGGTCTTGAAGGCCATGGAAGGATTCTGCCAGGTTTAGGGAGGGGAAAGGAGAAGGTATTCCCAACAGAGGCAAAAGCTCCAGCCAAGGTTCTGAGGGAACAGCACTGCACGCCGTGGGTGACAAAAGAAGGTACCACGCATGCTGTTGTCTGTGTCTGGGGTCACCGAGAAAAGGCTGCAGGGAAGTGCAGGCCAGCGGAAGGGAGCAAGTCCATGATCGCCAGCAGCAGCTAGGCCAGGCCTGTCCCTCCTCCCCGATACCAACCGCACACGCACCTAATGAGTCCTTCAGGGCGTGGGTGAGCTTGCATTGCCGGAAGGGGATGTGGTCCCGCTTCTGGTCCCCGAGGGCAATGATGGCCTGCTCCAGGAATGATAGCGACTTGTTGATGTAGGTGGCTTCCTTCAGCACGCGGCCCTCCGACTACAAAGCAAAGGTCAGGTCCACTTCACACCAAATAGGGAGGTTGCCCCGGGGAGAACGCAGCGGGTGGGTGGCCAGACCAGAGCCTCCTTCCCTGAGCCAGCTCTCCTCTTAATGTCCTGGGATTGTATCCCATCTCGGGCTAATACTAACATTCCCAGGAATGCTCATGCAAACATTCATGGCGGGCGCCTGGGTGGCTCAGATGGTTAAGCGTCTGCCCTCAGCTCAGGTCATGATCCCAGGGTCCTGGGATTGAGTCCCGCATCGGGCTCCCTGCTCAGCGGGGAGCCTGCTTCTCCCTCTGCCTCTCTCTCTCTCTCTGTCTCTTACGAATAAATAAATAAAATCTTAAAAAAAAAACATTCATGGCAGCGTTCACATGAATATGAATACTTACATGAATATTCATATGAATACTCACTTAAGAGTCACACCAGCATGAATACGCACAGGAATATTTGTGTAGATACTTGAGGAAATCATCCTGAGGCTATCATACACATAAAAACACTTAAACAAATGCACATAGGAGGGGCTCTTGGGTGGCTCAGTCAGTTAAGTGTCTGACTCTTGATTTGGGCTCTGGTCATGATCTCAGTGTTGTGGGATTGAGCGTGGGGTTGGGCTCTGTGCTCAGCATGGAGTCTGCTTGTCCCTCTCCCTCTGCTCCTCCCCTCCCCGCGCACATGCTCTCTCTCTCTCCTTCTTTCTCTACCTCTAAAATAAATAAAATCTGGGGCGCCTGGGTGGCTCAGTTGGTTAAGCGACTGCCTTCGGCTCAGGTCGTGATCCTGGAGTCCCGGGATCGAGTCCCGCATCGGGCTCCCTGCTCAGCAGGGAGTCTGCTTCTCCCTCTGACCCTCCTCCCTCTCATGCTCTCTGTCTCTCATTGTCTCTCTCGCAAATAAATAAATAAAATATTTTTAAAAAAAATTAATAAAATAAAATAAATAAAATCTTTTTAAAAAATGCACATAGAAATGCTCACTGCATACTCCTGTGAATACTTATGCTACTCTTCACATTCATATGAATATCAGAGATGAAAGACTCATGTGAACACTCACCTTCATACACAGAAATGCTAACACTAGCACAGAGCATTTACTGAGCACTTACTGAGGGCCGGACACCTTGCTAAGAATTTAGGGGCCATCATCTCATTCAACGTTTACAAAAATCCCATTAGGTGGGAACCGCAACTATGTTGCTGCTGATGTGTAATTCTGTTCCCCAGCAACACAGGGTCAAGCCCACGTGCTCTAGTGTGCCTAGCTGAGGACTGGGCTCACAAATGCCCCCTGAGGGGGGTGCCTGGGTGGCTCAGTCGGTTAAGCGTCTGCCTTCGGCTCAGGTCATGATCCCAGGGTCCTGGGATCGAGCCCCACATCGGGCTCCCTGCTCTGTGGGCAGCCTGCTTCTCCCTCTCCTCCCCACTTGTGCTCTCTATCTCACTATCTCTGTCTCTCTCAAATAAATAAAAAAATATATATATATAAAAAAAAATTAAAAAAAACAAAACACAAACAAATGCCCCCTGAGGGACGGCCCATGTGCACAGCCGCTCTGCCGGAAACAGGGTTGTGGTTTGTTGGGAAGGAACCTCCCGCTACCCACTTACCCCAGACTTCCCCAGCCTTTCCGAGCCCGCTAGATCCACCAAGTTAATTTTGGAAGTGATGTACTTTTCGTCTGATAAAGTCCGTGAATGGGCCTACGAAACATCCAAACAGAGGTGAGACATCACAGGAAGAAGCTTCTGACAGAGCCGGCCCCGTGAGACTCGGCCGCCCCTCCTGGGCTATTCAAGGAGCTCGCACTCACCTCCACGTAGATGGTGAAAATGCAGTGTGACCGGGATGAGTTTTTGTTCATTGTGTGGGAGGCAATAATCCTGTTGGTCTCTCCCTAAAGAGGAGGGGGAACATAGACAACATTTTGAAAAATTAAAATAATAAGGCATTCAGGTCATTTTTCAACTATACCAACAGCACAAGTGACTTCATGTTACTGCCATCAGACCTTCCAGAGAAATCTCATTTATAAACTAGGAGAATGGGAGACCAATTGGGAGTCCAGACCTAGACCTTCACCCTTTGCTAGGGATGTGTCAATCTGTAGAGCTTTCTGAAAGGCAAAGTAGTAATAAGAATTAAGAGTCTTAGAGGGCACCTGGTTGGCTCAGTTGGTTAAGTGTCTGCCTTTGGCTCGGGTCATGATCCCAGGGCCCACATTGGGCTCCCTGCTCAGCAGGGAGTCTGCTTCTCCCTCTCCCTCTGTCCCTCCCCACTGCTCATGCGCTCTCTCTCTCTCTCTCTCTCCAATAAATAAAATCTTTAAAAAAAAAGAATTAGAGTCTTAGAAATGTTCATGAATACTGACTCACAATCAATGTACGTATTCAGTGATTAGGGAATGGTCTGTCTGTATAATGGAATGTCATCCAGCCAGAAAAATGTTGACAAGTATTTTTTAATCATAGAGAAACGCAGAATACAAAATCATAGCAAACTAACTCCAATGGCACATTAAAAGGATCATATACCAGGACGATGTAGGACTAACCCCTGGGATGCAAAGATGGTTCACCACATGCAAATCCATCAGTGTGGTGCACCACATTAACCGAATGCAGGGTAAATCATATGACGGGACAATCTAAGGAATGCAAAAGAAATGCATACAAGAAAGAATACACAGTTGCTTCCAATAAGATATTCAGAACGGTCACTTCTAGGCTGGGGTTTAGAGATCATTTCTTTATTTTATTTTTTTCATTTTTTAAAAAGATTTTATTTTTAAGTAATCTTCACACCCAACATGGGGCTTGATCTCATAACCCCAAGATCAAGAGCTGCATGCTCCACCAACTAAGCCTACCAGGTGCCCGTTTGTTCTTTTTCTATAGGTTTGCGTTTTCATATTTTTACAGTGAACATGTTATTACTTTTTTTTAAAGATTTTATTTATTTGAGAGAGAGAGTGCATGTGCGCACATGCACATAGAGGTTGGGGGGGGGTAGTGCAGAGGGAGAGGGAGAAACAGACTCCCCACTGAGCAGGAAGTCCGATGTGGGACTCGATCCCAAGACCCTGGGATCATGACCTGAGCTGAAGGCAGACGCTTAACCAACTGAGCCACCCAGGCGCCCTAGTGAACGTGTTATTACTTTTAAAAATTATGAAAAATGAATTAATTTGTATTTTTAAAGGGACAGCAAGCCCTTGCTTCTAATTCACAAGATTGGGCCCAATGACCAGAATACACTTAAAGATGTGGTGGAAATGGCTGTTCTTAGGAGAAAAAGGTCCTTGTGGGAGGGACTCCACAGTACCCTTAAAGGCCCCAGAGAAATGCTCTGAACAAGTCCCAAAGCAGTGATGACAGGGGAGAGGAAGGGAAGCCCTGAGCTGTGGAGCAGACCTGGCTGAACCCCTGGCTGACGCCCGTGGCCACATCTCCACAGCTTCTCACTGTCGCCTGTCCTACAAATTCAGTGACATTCACCAAGAGCGTAAGGGGTCACGTCACCTTCATCCTTCAGTCCCCTCTTTGTGAAGTGCCCTCTGCCCTTGTCTTTCTGGCTTCCACTAGGCAATCTCTGATGGCCTGAGAAGTGCACTTCCCTCCTGAAGAGTCCTTTGCTAACTGCTCCCGAGCCTTCCTTCCACGGCATGGCAGTCTAGGAAACTCCACCCGACCTTCCCTCCCTTCACCTGAGGTAGGACTTGCATCGTGACCTGACAGCTGTCTAGCCTTACCCAGCTCCCTTCCTGCTTCCTTGACATGGGAACTTCCTCTCATAAAACCTTTGCACATTTAATCCCATCTTGGCATCTGCTTCTCAGAGAGCCCAGACTAACATACTTTGAAAAGACTGTTGAATAGACTGATAGTTGACTTCTCACTAACAATGGAAACCATAACTTTGCAATAATGTCTTTAGTATGGTAGAAGTGAAAAAAATGCCAAAATAGAATTTTACACCCAGCAAAAATATCTTTCAAGATTGAGGATAAATAAGGACATTTCAAAAAACAAGAAACTCTTTGTCACCAGCATGCTCACTGTAAAGGATGTATAATAGAAAGAAGGAAAACATTCTCCAGGGGAAGGTTATGGAGAAAAGAAAGGAAAAACAACAGAAGTGGTAAATACGAGGGTAAATGTAAAAGAATGCAGACTATATAAAACATTAATAATGATGCCCCTGCAGAGTCAAAAAACAAAAACGTAAAAGACAAGGCAACGATCCTAAGGTTCTTACAGAATCCAGGAGGAGGGAGAGGTTTTTATGAACTTTAGATTTTGAAAGGTTTGATTTTAAAAATAATTATAACATGATTAAAATGGTAATGTTATAGTAAAACATAACATTATAATAAAATGACATTTTATTTTGATCCACAGGAAGTTTCAAAGAAATGTACAGGCAAGTCCTCTGTACCCCTCACTCAGCCTCTCCCTGTGATAATAGCTTGCAAAACTATAGCACAGTATCAAAGCCAAGAAGCTGACACTGGTATAATCCACAGACCTTATTCAGATTTTACCAGGTAGATATGCTCATTTGGGTGTGTATATATGTGTATTAACTAAATGTGCAAGTTGTTATTTCTAGGATAAACTGAGAGAGCGAGAGAATATAAATATGAATGAACATATAACCTCTAAATTAGTAAAGGGGGCAACAGGACAATAAAAAATTAAATATTCAATTAAAAAGAGGGCAGGGGTGCCTGGGTGGCTCAGTTGGTTAGGTGTCTGGTCATGATCCCGGGGTCCTGGGATTGAGCCCCACATGGGGCTCCCTGCTCAGCAGGGAGTCTGCTTCTCCCTCTCCTTCTGCCCCTTCCCCTCCGTTCGTGCTCGCTCTCTCTCTCTGTCTCAAATAAATAAAATCTTTAAATAAATAAAAGAGGGCAAAACAGGTAAGAAAAATAAATGTAGAACAAATGGAACAAAGAGAAAACACACAGTAACATGACAGATGTAAACCAGCTATATGCGTAATTTACATTAAGTGCAAGTGGAATTAAATGCTTCAGTTAAAAGACAAAGACTGTCACACCACCAAGACTGAGTTATGATGAAATAGAAAATATGAATAGACCGATTACTATTAGGGAGATTGATTCAGTAATCAAAAACCTCCCAACAAATAAAAGTCCAGGATCAGATGACTTCACTGGTGAATTCTACCCCTGGATTTTTTTTGTTTTTAAGATTTTATTTATTTGGGGTGCCTGGGTGGCTCTCTGGCAAATAAACAAATACAATCTTTAAAAAAAAGATTTTATTTATTTGAGAGAGAGAGAGTAAAGAAAGAAAGAGAGTGCACAAGTGTGGGGGAGGAGCAGAGGGAGAGGGAGAAGCAGACTCCCCACTGAGCAGGGAGCCCCATGAGGGGCTCAATCCCAGGACCCTGGGATCATGACCTGAGCCGAAGGCAGACGCTTAGCCAACTGAGTCACCCAGATGCCCCTCTACCCCTGGATATTTTTAAAAGAAAATCCTTTTATATGCTCTTTTTTTTTTTTCCTTTTATATGCTCTTTACACGAAAAGCCAAAACAAAAAATTCACACACAATTCAATTAACCTAAAATCAGGAATTTTTGTTCATTAAATAACACATAAAGAGAGAGAGAAAGAAAAAAAGAAGCCACAGGAAATATAAGATATTTGCAATATGTATAATGGAAAAAGAATTAGTTTTCCAGTATATAAAGAATTCATGCAGATAAGTAAGAGAAAGAAAAAAGGACATCTGTAAAAACAAACAAACAAAAAACAAAAAACCAAAAGACAGGAAAAGGGAAATCCACATGGTCAATAAACACATGAAAAGGTCCTTAATTTCATTAGAAATGAAAGATGAAAAGAGAAGACCACAGTGGGAAACACCACACACCAGCAAAATTTTAAGGTCAGAATACTCAGGATTCTGATAACCTGCTGTGGAAGTGTACCATTACGGAAAAGAGTTGGCATTGCCTAAGAAAACTTAAGACACACATACTCAAAGACCCATATTTGCAGCCCTAGAAAAATTCATGCTACATGCACTAACAGATATACAAGAATGCTCCCAGTGGCACTGTCTGAAATATCCCCCAAATTAAGAAAACCCGAATGTCCATTAGTAGAAGAGTGGATAACTAACTTGTAGTACGTTCACCCAATGTAATACAATGATGATGACAATGAAAAATATACAGCAAGAACGCAGACGCATTTCACATAAAAAGTAGATAAAAGGGAAAAGTAATCAGACAGAATTCATCCTGCATGATTCCTTTCATATAAAAATTTCAAAAAAATTAAACTACGCTCGCTGTTGGAGGAAACATGGGTGGTAATGCTACAAAGAAGACCGACGAAATGATCACAGGTCAGGAGAGTGGTTATTACTAAGGGTATGAATAAATACTTATTCATGATTAAAAAAACTCTTCCCAAACTTGGACCTTCTTTAACCTGAAGCCACCAAAAACCTCCAGCAAACATCATTAGTCACGGTGAAATGATAGGAGCAACAAGAAGACAAGAATGCCCTACAGCTGCCTCCTGGGACGCTCTCTTCCCTGTAGATGCAAGGGCTCCAGGTGTAAAGCACCCCTGAGGACACCTAGGTGACTTTAAAAAAAAAAAGCTTTATTGACACATAATTTAAATAGCATAAAATTCTCTGTTTTAAGCATACGATTCAGTGATTGTTTTTTAGCAAATTTACAGGGTTGTGCAACCATCACCACAATCCTGTTTTAGAAATGTTGTGTAACTCCAAAAAGTTCCCTGGGCCCATCTGCAACCATTTCCCACTCTTTCCTCTGGGCAACCGATAATCTGCTTTCTATCTCTAAAGATGGTGTCTACTGGGACCATGAGTGGAATTTCAAATGAGTGGAATCATACAGTATGGATCTTTTGTGTTTCTTTTACTGAGCATTTTTTTGAGACTTGTCCATCTTGTAGCATATATCAGTAGTCCATTTCTTTTTATTGCTGAATAGTTCTCCATCATATGGATGTACATTTTGTTGATCCATTCACCAGGTGATGGATATTTTGGTTATTTCCAGTCTTTGGCTATTACAAATAATGCTGCTATAACATTTGCCTATAAGTCTTTGTGTGAACACATGCTTTCGTTTCTCTTGGGAAGATACCTAGGAATAGAATTGCTAGATCTTATGATAAAATTAGTGTTTAACTTTTTAGGAAACTGCCAAAATGGCTGCACCATTTTACATTTCAGCAACAACGTTTAAGAGTTCCAACGTAGGGGCACCTGGGTGGCTCATTTGGTTAAGCATCTGCCTTTGGCTCAAGTCATGATCATAGGGTCCTGGGATGGAGCCCCGCATCCAGCTCCCTGCTCAGCGGAGAGCCTGCTTCTCCCTCTCCCTCTGCCCCTCCTCTCCTTCATGCTCGCTATCTCTCAAATAAATAAATAAATAAAATCTTTAAAAAAAAAAGAGTTCCAACCTATATGACTTTTAAAAGAATAGCATACGCTGGGGGAATTTACAGATTTGTAAGAGCTCTTATATACTAAGGATGCTAATCCTTCTTTTTTTCTTTTTTTTTTTTTAAAGATTTTATTTATTTATTTGAGAGAGAGAATGAGAGAGAGAGAGCACATGAGACGGGGGAGGGTCAGAGGGAGAAGCAGACTCCCTGCCGAGCAGGGAGCCCGATGCGGGACTCGATCCCGGGACTCCAGGATCATGACCTGAGCCGAAGGCAGTCGCTTAACCAACTGAGCCACCCAGGCGCCCAATCCTTATTTTTTTCTATACTACAAATGCCCATGATTTCATGTTCACTGGGAAAAAAAAGGACAATTTCAACTATGTTAAGAAAAAATTGCATGGGAAAAAAAGACTGGAAATTAGCCAAAACATACATTACTGTTGCTGTATGTAGGAAACAGACGAGTGAATTCTTTTTTTGTTCCTGTATTTTTTCTTTACTATCTGAACTTGCTAATGAGCATATATAAATATTCATTCTGATTATCAAAGTAAGTAAAAAAAACTAAGGAGGGAGGGAGGAAAAGAAAAAAGGGAAGAAAGGAAGGGAAGGAAGGAAGGAGGGAGGTAGGGTAGAAGGAGAGAAGGAAGGAAGGAAAGGTCCCTTAGGCTTGGTCATCTCACCTCAAAAAGGAGACTGAAGGCATCCTCCTCCTGACCTGTAAGGTGGACTGACAAGCCCTTAACGAAGACCCCTTGAGGGTTTTCCACAATGGTCAATGGTGTGACTGATGGTCCGACATAGGGCAGAGTGGACAGGAGATCAAAGAGACTCTCGTTGTAGATTTCCAGGTAGGAAACACGCACAGCGATGGCATGTGTGGGGCGTTCTTCGATCATCCTAAAAACCTAGATGAGGGATTGGACGTAGTCACGAAGAGAAAACTCCAATGACCAGCCAGTGTTAGGAGGGTTCTGACCTCAGCAGGGAATATCAAGAAGTACAATAAAAAAATATTTGTCCTGGGGCGCCTGGGTGGCTCAGATGGTTAAGCGTCTGCCTTCAGCTCAGGCCATGATCCCAGAGTCCTGGGATCAAGCCCCACATCGGGCTCCTGGCTCAGCGGGGAGCCTGCTTCTCCCTCTCCCTCTGCTTCTCCCCCTGCTCATGCTCTCTCTCTCTCTGTATCTCTGTGTCTCAAATGAATAAATAAAATCTTTAAAAAAAAATATTTGTCCTAAAAGAATTTACAGTCTAGCTGGCATGATGGTCATCATCATCAACAATCACTATTATTAGTCCATTGAGTGATAATTATTACCATGTAGTTTTTTGAGGCCTGACTTAACAGATTGAACAGCCCCATGACATGATGAATGGAAAAGACTCTGGAGTGAAGATCCCTTATTTTATGGGGTCTCACGATATAGATGCCTCTTTCACATCAATTATTTAATTCCATTCTCACAACTCCCCTGTGATTGAAGCAAGGCAGGGGTAATGCCCACCTGTGGAAAGCTCCATGCAATGAGAAGTATTTGTCTATGATCACTCAGTTACAGAGAGAAGCCAAGCCCAAACTCAGCCTTCCCAGCTCCTAATACCCTCCCTGGTACTTAAGGGCAGGTGACTTTGGACTGGTCTTTTCCCCTCTCTTGACCTTAACTTTCTTAATTGTCAAATGGGCTGTGGGGATTGGGCTGGATGATCCCTGAGGTCCCCACCCTGCTCTAACAGTCTAGGTGGGTGCTGTCCAACATGGGGGACACTAGCCAAAGGAGGCTGCTGAGCACTTGAAACGTGGCTGACGCAAATATGAGGGGCAGAATTTTAAAAAATTTTTTTAATTGTAATTAATTTGAATTTAAATTTCAAAGCAGTCCTAAGTTCAGTTACTGGTAAACTTTTCAGTATGTTTGGAACAACTTGGGTTTATAAATCTACTTTTTCAACCGTAAATTTTATGAAATCTCAATACAGATCAAGTATTCCTGATGAGTAGTTAGTGTCTAAATTTTGAAATGGCCCGTAAGTGTAAAATACACACTGCAAAGACTTGGTGTGAGAAAAATAATGTAAAATATCTCAAGAATTTTCATACTGACTACATGTGGACATTACATTTTGCATATACTGACATAAAATATATCATTAAAATCAACTTCGCCTGTTTTACTTTTCAACCTGTGGTTACTAGAAAACTCAAAATTGCATGTGTGGCTTCCATTTTATTTCTACTGGGCAGTGCTGGACTCCACTACCGAAGTCGAAGATGCTGAGATCCTGAAGCTTTGACAGTGGGGCGTGAAGGAGATTGCTTCACCAGTTAGAGCATGGGTGGTTTATACACTAGAGGGTCCTCTCCATTCCTTATAGGACAGGGCTATAAAACCTCAAGATGCTTTTGGGGTAAAGCCCTTTATCTCCTACCTCCCAACAGAGGGTCCTCACAGAACTCCGAGGAAGGCCCCTCTGTCCTATCTTCAGTCAGAGTTCCAGACCCGCCCAGGGCTGACTCAGTCCTGAACACTCATGTTGTGCCTGCTTTTTCCCTTTGCTCTTTCTGGGGCTGTGGTGGTGGAAGAAGCCAGAGCAGGCCAGTGAGGAAGCTCTCTGAGAGTCCATATCCCCCTCATTAAAGCAAGGAAGGAACATAATGATTAGGACCTCCAAATCCTCAATTACAGGATCACAGACCAGCACAGCAGCAAGAAGCCAGTTGGCACGTCCTCACAAATGAAACTGGCTCTGCACGGGCTTGGGTCAGACTCTGAAACCCGAACTCCCGGTTTCCTGAGGCCTCTGCACCCCCACCCCCTCAACATATATCCTGTGTCCGGTAGCAGGCCTGGGGTCAGCAGCAGCTGTGGTAAGGGGGGGGACCCATGAGACACCCCGCCTGTGGGCCCACTCTCTACCTGCTGTAGGGCACGAGGAAGGATCCCCCGGTGCTTGTAATTCTCAGTTGCCCCTGTCATGGTGTATGTCTTGCCGGCTCCTGTCTGCCCGTAACACATGATGGTACCTGCAAATATTTGGAAACACGTCTTGGTGATGTCCAGGAAAAGAGCTCCGAGGATAGCTCTCTTATCCCCCAGCATGCCTGGTGCCAATCTGGATCCTGGTGTGGAGGTGGCCATCAGGAGCAGCCGTGGACATGAGGAATTCCTGCCACGGGGCCGGGGGGGGGGTGGTGGGAATGGGCAGGCAGGGAAACAGGGACATAAATGGTCTAAACACAGACCTCTGCTCTAAATCTGGCCCATGTAGTGCTCTATTGATCCCTGTGCCAAGAGAAGATCTCACCCTCGGGCTTCTGAGCAGAGCAGGGAATATCAGGGAACAGAGAAACTAGGAATTTTCCTAGACAGGTGAAGACAGGTGAAGGAGGGAGACAGGAACACTGAACTCCAGCCCTTCTTTTTTTAAAGATTTTATTTTATTTGTCAGAGAGAGAGCAGGAACACAAGCAGGGGGGAGGGGCAGAGGGAGAAGCAGACTCCCTGCTGAGCAAGGAGCCCATCCCAGGACCCTGGGATCATGACCTGAGCTGAAGGCAGATGCTTAACCGAATGAGCCACCCAGGTGCCCCTGAAATGAAAAATTAAGACATTCAGAATCCAGCACCACTGGCTGAACAGTCCTTTAGCAAAGCCATGAACTGCCAGAGTCTCAGGCGTAGGCCTCCCTGGAACTGGCCAGGCAGGAGGCAAGAAGAGCTCTCAAAATCCCCAGGAAGAAATGGGCGTGGAAAGGGCATTTCCTGTTAATGGTGAGAATTCTCTGTAGACTGCAAGTTCCCACAGGATCAAACAGGGCTGCTAGTTGGTCCCATGCCACTTTCAGAAACACCGCCATGACAGGTCCTGATCTAGTCCCACTGCCCTCTCCAGGACGACTTCGTTTGCACCTGTCACGTCTATGAGGTTTACCATCACCACCAGGCTCTTGAGCTCCGGATCGCATCTGCCCTTCCTCCTGGCTGGGCCAGCCTGAGCCATACCCATCCCAAACGCTGCTTCAGGGCAACGCCACACCAATGCTCTAGTTCCTGGGATTGGTAGGTTTTACACACGGGGCTCTAACTCAGCATGTGAGCCGAGGTCAGAAACAGTATCTACTAACACAAGTGTGCAGGAAGGAGTCACGGCGGCTGGCCCTCAGGGCCCATTTGTGATTCCACAGCACCCAGGGCCCAAGACTCTTAACCTCCCAGGCCTTCTTAGTTCCTTGTCTTCTACCTCTTCAAGGCCACATCCCCTCAGGGTCAATGAGGACCACGCCTATGTATCACAAGCAGGATACATTACAATGTGTGGGTGTCAATACTAAACAGACTTTTAAACAGAAGACCTAAAACTTGCAGACAGGGAGCATTCTAGTCACATGGGCGAAGTTTACAAAAACGGTGATAGATTCTCTCTACAGATTTTTAAATCTTAAGATTTTCAAGCAATCTTAGACTGAACTAGTTTGTAAAACTTTCCCAGTAAAGCTGCTTTTAATTTGTTAAGACAATCAAACTCCACTCCCTTTTTTCAAGCTATACGTAAATAACCCTATACTACAATAGGAAGGGTAGAATGATTTTGCTGGTAGAATGAACGGAAGTAGCTCCTAGCAGGTGGCCAAGACAAAAGTATTTGGACTCAGTCAAATTCATAAGGACATTATCTTCCAAGCTAGTATCTGAGAGATGTGAAACAGGATAATAGTTCATCCCCAGGACCTAGAGCCACAGCCATTGAATCTTCCTATGAAGGTAGGATCCCAGAACTTTGGATCAAGTCATGCCCACAATATCACCAAGCAAATAATCGGTTTTCCACCATAAGAATATGGAGATAGACAAATTAGCAAACAGAAGTTAGCAGGAGAGGTTATCTTTTCTTTCATTCACCATAAATTGCAACTCTTCCTCCAGGAAGTGTTCTGTGGGTTCTTAGGTAAAACAACTGACAATTAACTAAATTACCATTGTATCCATCGAGGGCTTGAGCAACCACATCCTTTGCAACTGTCTCATAAACTAAGTCCTGGGAGGCATTGTGGAGAACTCCATCCAGCTTGAAAGACCAGTCTGTCTGCTTGTTATTGACAACTCCTCTCTGAAGATCTTTTTTTAAGTGAATATCAATGCTCTAGGAAGAGAGAGAGTTAGTGGTTAGGAAACTGGTATGAAAAACTCACTGCTAGCTGAGGCCTGACCTGGAGAAAATAGAGGAAGTGAACTTTAGGAAAAACAGGGACTCCCACCAATGGGCCAATATTCCAATGAATTCTTTGGGATGGGAGAAGGAAGCTCCTGCAGGGAGGCCACACAACCCTTCAGGTGGAAGGATCAGGAGACTGGAGCACTTACTAGTTTCAGGACTTGTCACCCTAGGTTACAGGGTGCTGTTTGTCTTGGTTCCCCCATCTATGATATGGGGTCAAGCACATTTATCATGTTTCTATTAAACAAGCTTTAGACACATTCACTAAGCACAGGAAGGCCTTGGATTAGGCCAGAGAGAGAGAACAGTGGGCTTCGTGACAGAGGCCTGGGCTTGAGCCACATCTCTTACATGCTATGGGCCATTCTGAGTAATGATGAAGAGCCACAGAGAAGGCTCTTCTTGACTTCTCATAGTTCCTCACTGGTATTACAGCAAATCAAGGGTACCTACCCACTTGTAATCAGCATATTTTTAGATGCACAGATTTCTAAAAAAAAAAGTTAGATTTTTAGATCCCTCCACAGCAAAACACTATGGCAGCAGCTGGGTTAGGAACCCGTTGCATTAGGTCAATGGTAGATTCCAATCTTCATTATGGGGACTTCTGATGTAAAGAGCCTCTTACTGGAATTTTATCCTGGCTGCCCTAATCCAGGAACCAAGACACAGCCACATGCAGAAGAAGTAAGATCAAGAGAGGCTTGGTGCATTCACACATTAAACGCACTGCGCTTCTATGTTCGTTGAAACCATGCCCAGTGTGAGCTTTTTTCTGACTGCCAAGACTTGCAAAGCTTGGGGAGTTTGCTCTTGAATTCTTCCCTTAAAGAACGTCTCAGTGCTGCCCACAGTGGATTCACAGTTGTTTGCTGAATGAAAACACAGGACTCTCTCAACCTGTCCCAAGCCTGTCATGGGCTTCAGAAAGACTGTGAGGACAGTGGTAAAGGCATGGGGATGGATAAACCTTTCCAGTTCTCTCGATAAGAGTTTTTCCCATTGGTTTGGTAAGTTTAACAGTTATCAACTTAAGACATTCTACCTGGACCCCTGGGGAGATTATGTAACAGATCTGATCACCAGAAAGTTTTATGAGTGTGGACAAATGTCAGCTTTTCTATATCCGATACAAGGATGAAGGTTAAATGTATTAACCAAAAATTAAATATGGGAGTTTCGAGAGTTTCCTCATCGAAAGCGATTCAGGGGGAGGGGTTTGGACTTGTTGGACTCTGGAGTCCATCTGAACTTTCGTCAATTCTATTTTGGTCCTTAAAGGCTATTTAGAAACAGGGTCACGCTGTAGCGAGTGGGGACAGAGAGGACCGGGCCGGTGAGGGCAAGCACGTTGCACTTACTTTATTGTCATCTCCGTATTTGATCATTTCGTGAGCAAAATCATCGGTGGGTTTGACGCGGACAAATGCATGAACTTTTTTTCTAGTGCCCATTCTAGCTAAAAAGAAGAAAATAGTGCAGCTTTCAGTAGTCGTCATCAGATGACAATTAGTGGGGAGGTGTCATTCATGAAGATCAGAACAGCGTGACACAGAGTCTGTGTTTTCCTATTCCACTGAGAGCCAGTCTTCCTTTTTACCCCCTAGCATGTCAGGGCTTTACCCACAGGACACAGCTCAACAAGTCCAGGGGCTGACTCATCGTTTTCCACCAATGGCCCCCTAAGAGACAGATACAAGGCAAAAAGAATGCTCCCTTGAGGGGCCTAATCTTAGATATGTTTCCTAAAAATGTTCTGTAACGGAGTCCACTTATGCTTTGCCTCATTCATTATATTTCCCTCTAAAATACTTAGGAAATGCATTGAAACTAATTTTCTTTTCTTCACTAACATACATTACTTCAGATGCAGCACCTCCTCCTCTACCTCCATTTGACAGACCAGAAAAATGATTCCCTAGAAGTATATTTAATCTAGCCCATAATCAAATGTTCTTTCTTCTCTGGCAGTCCACTGAGAGAAAAAGTAGACAGTCCTCAACCTCCTCTTCCTCTCTCAAACCTAACTATATTTTCTTTCAGGTAGACACACTTAAGTTTGTATTTCCTTATATATACTATCATGAATAATTACCATGTGTAACGAAATGTTAAAATAAACGTTTGGGGTAGCTAAAAAAAAAAAAACACCACCATCACCAACAAACAAACTCAAGCAAATTCAAGATGCTAGCTAGCAGAGATGCTACCAAAGGGACTGTTGCATTGAGGGGAGAGTTAATTAATCTCTTAGATCCTAACTGAAGTATTTTATAAAAAAAAAAAATCAAGGGCACCTGGGTGGCTCAGTTGGTTAAGGGTCCAACTCTTGGTTTCAGCTCAGGTCATGATCTCAGGGTTGTGAGATCGAGCCCCACAACTGGCTCCACCCTCGGCGAGGAGTTTGCTTGGAATTCTTTCCCTCTCCCTCTGCTCCTCCCCCCACTCGCATGCTCTCTCTCTCTCCCAAATAAATAAAATCTTTAAATTTTTTTTTAAAAATTGAATTACACAACCAAATGATAACTAATAAATCTCCTATTTCATTGGAAATCAGTCTCATTGGCGAAATCACACGAGGCCCTCTCCTGAGAATGACTATGTAAAAATATTTAATACTAATTAGACAGAAAATTTGGGTTCCAGCATTGACATAGAGAAGCAAAGAGGGTTTTTAAGCAGAAGGAATGATTGTGCTATTTTTTTTTTTTAAGATTTTATTTATTTATTTGACAGAGAAAGACACAGCGAGAGAGGGAACACAAACGGGGAGTGGGAGAGGGAGAAGCAGACTCCCCGCCGAGCAGGGAGTCCGATGCGGAACTCGATCCCGGGACTCCAGGATCATGACCCAAGCCGAAGGCAGTCGTTTAACCAACTGAGCCACCCAGGTGCCCGATTGTGCTATTTTTATTGCTTTGATGGGAACTTAAAACTTAGCTCTTCAGGTGCCTCTTATATACTGATGACAAAGGATTAAATATTGAGAAAAAATGTCAAGAGCTCTAAGAAAAGCTAAGGAAAAATCAATCTCTAATCATCATCAATTACATTAAACCTAGTTAAGTAATACTAGAAAACAAGATGAAAGTCTATGAAAATATATTAAACTTCATTGTTCGAAACTATTAGGGAAATTAACATGATACAATTTTAAGTTGTTCAAAGAGGAAACATTTCTAACTTTACATATAAGTTTTCCTAATATTGATCTAATATTTTTTCTTTCCTTCTTTTTCAAATAATGGGAACAATATCAACAAGTAGGCTATGGTCGTGTACTCCTAACACTGGGCTCTCACATTTCGATAATTTCACTTATATGGAACTATGCATATAAAGAATGTTAAAAACTCATTTATAGAGTTCATGCTCCAAATGTACAAAACACACTTGGAATAGAGACAAGGCCCAAGGGTCTGGATGTGTGCTGCATGGTATGCTTCTCTTCTCACCTCCCTCTCAGGGTTAAACCATTTCAATAAGAAACGAGGCATTTGCCACTAAAATAACCTGTACCTTCATGGGGGAGGAAAGAGGAGTTGAAGCCAAAGAAATCCCCTGGGTATTTCTGAAAAACAAAACAAACAAACAAACAAACAAACAAACAAAACACAAAAAAACAACCAGCAAAGGAATTTGTTCAATTTATGAGGAGTTAGGGAAACATGAAGACACATAGGGAACTGATTCAATTTCATATTCAAATTGGCAAATAGCAACAGCATGGTGGTTAAGGAAAAAATAGCTTGCTTGAGCTATTGCGAAGAACTCTAACAAATAAGCTGATACGAGGCTTAATATTTTTTAAAAACTAATTGTTAAGACCTTTAAAGAAAAAGTCATGCATGACAGGGATTTCTTCTCTGAATTACACGAGCTGAAGGCAGACGCTTAACGACTGAGCCACCCAGGCGCCCCTAATTATTTCACTTTTTTTTTTAAAGACTTTCATTTATTTATTTGAGAGAGAGCACTGAGGGAGAGTGGGAGGGAGAAGCAGACTCCCCACCCAGCAGAGAGCCTGATGTGGGGCTTGATCCCAGGACCCCAAGATCCTGACCTGAACCGAAGGCAGACGCCCAACCGAATCACCCAGGTGCCCCTAATTATTTCACTTTTTTTAAAAAGCACATTAAATAAAGAATATTAACCTTTTACATGTATTATCTAAGGTTCATTGAATGTTACCTGATAAAAAAGATTACAGATTTTGAAAATATTAATGTCCCTCTACATTTCTAAATACAACTTGCAATGATTTCCTATTACAATTATATTAACTGTCATCAATGGCATTAAGTATTGCTACAGAAGCAAAATAAATAGATAGGCCCTGCCCTTCGTTTACAATTTCAATGATGTCGACAAATGGAACTCTAACCCGTTACAAGGCCTTCAGATGTCAAATCAAATAAGCAAACATGTCACTCTCATATTTGCCTACTGTAGACCTGTGTCCACTTGCTACATTCCTCAAGTAATTATTTCATGGAAGTCTTTTCCCAACCCCTAGGGGACAATTCAGACCTTTTAATTTTTAGAAAATGTATCTGAAAGGTGATCAGGGGTAATGGCTTATCCAATTTCGGTCCTAAAATTTTTGTCTGCAAAATTGAGCTCGAAAGATACAAAGCCACAGATGGCTCTAACATGGATCCCAAATTGAGGAAACTGAAGAGAAAAATCTCAACTTCACGTTCACTTTGATCTAGGCTATTGGGGAGTGGAGAGTGGAGGAAGGTGTGTTTTGACACAAGCAAACTTACCCTCAACCTCTAAAGCTCTGGGAACCATTGCTCACACCAGTCTGAGGGCCCAGCCTCCTGCCCTGGGTGCCCTCTGAATGGAACCAGCCAGGTGGCAGGTGCTCAGCCCTCCCTCCTGGAAGCCCCACCCACCCAGCACAAGAACAGCATAGGAAAGCCCAAGCATGCCCTCCCCTCAGACTGGGGCCTGCAACTTGCCAACATGCACATGCGCCTGCAGTCCCCCGATCTTCCCAAGGCCCGCCCCATACTCACATCCATGGCTCCAAGTATGCCAGGACCTATACCCACCTAAGGCAAGCCTTCTCTATTTTTTTTTTTATTTAAGATTTTATTTTTTTAAGTAATCTCTACACCCAACATGGGGCTTGAACTCCCAACCCCGAGATCGAGTCGCATGCTCTAAGGACTGAGCCAGGCAGGCCCCCCGCAAGCCTTCTCTCTTAACTCCTCCTGTAAGGCACTATTCAGCAGGCACTCAACACCCAGATATTTAGAGAGACCCCATGCCATCTTGCACTTACTGAAATAATGCTTGTTACCATTCTTACGCTGCATCATTTGAGTGGGTTTCTGCTCCCAAATTAAATTACAAGTTGCTTGAGGGATTGAACTGTGCTTTATCTCTTTTGAATCCCCCCTCAGTGTCCAGAACAGTGCCCAGCACAGAGCAGGAACTCAAGAAATGGTGGTTGGTAGTGATGGTCATGGCTGGAAGTCAGAGGACAGCTGAATCTCCACATGTGGGTCCATCTTCCGTCACTACTGAGAGAGTCCCAAGGGGCATATGTCACTCCCCTCCCACACCACCTCCAATCCCTCAGCCCACAGCCCTTCCAGGAGGACACCTAGTTTCCAGGCACCAGTTGCAAGAAGCCATATTCAGCCCCTCATCATGCCCTCTTTTTTAGCAGTGTTTTTTCCCGCGTCACTACTATGTGGGGAATGCTCCTTTCTCATGGGCACCACCCTTAGATAGTTCTGGTGTAAATAAGTGAACCTCTGAGTGGTCACCAGGAGACCTCTCTGAAAGGCACGTGGTTTCCTTATTTATTTTAAGGGTGGAAATGAAAAGAACTGCTATCAAGCACCCCTGAAGGCTGGATAAAAGGAGAGGGAGCGTCTGCTGGGACGAGTCCCTAGCTTCCAGCGCTCCTGCCCAGACCAAGCGCTCTCATACGGAACCCTCATAGTTATCAGAGCGGCGGCAGCATATGAACCCCAAAACAACAGGGTCCAAACGCACGAGGCCTCGATTCCAGGCAGAACTGGCTTTCTCCCTTTTCCTCACCCAACATACCGGACCCCTTTGTGGATTGTGGGAGGCAGTTGGCCTTGGGACCATTCCTGTCCCTCTCTGGAGCGGTTTCCTCATCTGTAAAGCGAGCGGGTCGACCTGGCGATCCTGAAGCCCCCTCCAGTTCGAAAACTGTCCAGACCTCTGGTTCCCCACTTCGGGCCCTCTCAACCTAGGCAGCGACGCAGAGCCCTCGTGCGGCCAGGGAACGTTAGATTCGAAGACCCTAAGTCGCAGCCAGCCGGAAAGGGTCCCCACGATGCCGCGCCCTCTCCTCGGCTCGGGTTTCACAGATCAGCGAGCTAAGCCGGGGGACTCCCGGGTGGAGCGGTGTTCGGATCCTAGTCGCTGCCCGCCCCTCTCGAGCCTTGCTTCTCCTCACCCGGGCGAAGCGTGGCCCCTGTTCACCGCCCCGGAGGCAGTGGCCCTCCCGCCGCCTTCCGCTGCCTGTGCAGCGACTGCAAGCCCGCACTCGCCGCTGCAGAACTGTGTACATAGCCGCCATGGCAACGGGCCGTTTCCGCAGATCCCGGAAGTATCGGGGTAGTGGCGGAAACGAAGTCCGCGGCCTGGGTCGAGAAACGATTAAGGCCAGGGCCGAATCGGGAAGACGGGAGATGGGGCCGGTTAATCTAGAAAGACTGCGGCAGCTGCACGCGCGAAAGCACGGTCGGGACGGCGAAGGAACGAAGGCTAGGCTCGCACCAGGAAACGGGGCAGCGGGGCTTCCGGCGCAGAGCAGCCTGAGACTACGGCAGCCGCGCAGGCCCGTCTGCTTCCAGCCCCGCGCTCCGGGCGGCGGACCGCGCGGGCCCTCGCCCCGCCCTGTTTGATATCGAGCCGGCCGGCCAGGCCTGCGCAGTCGCGGTGGCCGGGGAAGATGGTGGAGGACGGCGCGGAGGAGCTGGAGGACCTGGTGCACTTCTCCGTGTCCGAGTTGCCTAGTCGCGGCTACGGCGTCATGGAGGAGATCCGGCGGCAAGGCAAGCTGTGCGACGTGACGCTCAAGGTACCGAGGGCTGGGCAGCGTGGGACTGAGGGATAAGGAACCGAGTGGGGAGGAAAGAGGGGCGGGGGGTAGGGGAAGAGAGGTCTAGCGGGCAGAGCGGCGGGGCAAGGGGGTTGGAGGGAGACCGAGTAGGGGAGAGAGAGTTGTGGAGTGGGAGAGGGGAGTTGGGGCTGAGTGGGGAGACGGACAGGGACAGCTTCTCAGCCCTTAGAAGGACAGGCTGAGAGGAGCGCGGCTGAGGCCCTCGGGGTGGGAGACATTGGGGTGCCCGCCTCCCTTTTCTGTCACACAGACGGGAGAAAATGGACTTGCAACCCCTCTGGAGAGGAGGGGGCGGTGGCCGCCTCTACATTCTGATGGGCACCAGTGAAGCACCCTCTCTTGTCACCGTAGACATTTCTTTGTGCCCCTCGAAGTTAGCTGTGCCGTCGTAAGGCGCAGGCTTCTTCTTAGGAGTCATTGCTTGCCCTTGATTGTTAGATTACTACCTTGTTTCTTAAGAGCTTTTAAAATCGGATCTGGATATCTTTTGAGGTGGGCATTTACTCTGCCCCCCACTGGAAGGTGCACCACCACCACCTCCACAAAGGTCTCGGAGGATGGATTGGGTCTTCGTGGGGAGGAGAGGGATTCCTTAACCACCTGTTCCCTACTGGCATCCTGGGCCCAAGAGCCAGGCTTCCTCCCGTGCATTGCATCCGTTCCTGCTGGAGAGGCATACTGTGCTGCTCCTTGGCCTAAATCCTGAGCCCTCTGGAGCCCTCCACGTGGGAAGGTGCTGCTGTGAATTGTGTTCCCTGTTGGGCTTTGGCTGGAAGGCTCTCAGCATCTGTGGAGGACCACATGAAATATATATACACATGCAGAGATCTTTTCGCCCTGCTTGTTTTCTACAGAATTAAGGAAACTTTTCTTCTTCCCATATTTGAGTCAGACCTCTGGAGACAGGAGAGTAGAATGCTTAAGTGTGTGGAGATGGAAGGATTTGGATTAAAATCCTAGTGATAACCTTGGGCAAGTTTCTTAATCTCTCTAAGCTTCAGGTTTCCAAATTTAAAAACGGGGATGATTTCTAATTCTCAGTATTAGTGTGAGGATTCAGTGAGAAAATTTGTAGTATTCTTTGCATGATGCCCGGCTTAAGTTTTTCATCCTCCGAAGGAGGTTGGTTTTCTAGGAGAGGAGTGAGGTGGCCTGAGAGGAAAAGGGTCTTCAGCGGGGAACCAAGGGGTTTGAGAAAAATGAGCTGGACTAAAGGAGGCAGAGGAAGTAGATATAAATGAGAGATTTTTGTCCATGGTGATAACATGGTAGAAGATGTCGCGGCTGCTAGAGGTTTGTAAGCAGAAGAATGATCTGGTTGTGGCAGTAACACTTGGAGTGAGTAGAGACTGGTGAAAAGCAGTAATAGGGGAGAATTTGGGGGTTAAGATTTAGGCTGTAAGGGTGAGCCAGGGAAAGCTTGTGAGACAGAGAAGCAAAAAGGGTATGATAGAGGGGGATGGTTACAGATATTTCCTACATAGATTGAAGCAGTGTGTTTTGCCTATGCATTTAATGCAAATACAGAATATAACAACCCTTTAGCATAACAATGCTTGTATGATTTTTTTTTCCATTACACTGCTTTTTGTTCATTCAAAGGGACAAGAAAATTATCAGAGGTAGTTCCAACTGAGAGTGTCTGTCTAAATTGCTGTGTTTTAAGCATCTGGGACATAAGGACTGGTATAAAGGGACAGGTAGAGCTGGACAGGACCTAGAGAGCGTTTGCTTCATTGGTTTTCTAACTCTTCTGTACAGCCTGAGGAGTAGCTCATGGCAGTGTGATGGTGGGGGCCAGGGAGAGGCCAAACAAACCAGGCTGTCCTTCATTTCACCCCCCTTCACTAGAGCTGCTCTGTGAAATCTGTTTTGGTCTCTCTCTCTCTCTTTCTCTCAGGATAGAGTCTTTCCTGAAACTTCTGATGTTTCCGGACTGTCTTCCAAATAAATAGGTACTGAAAAGTCAGTTGGAAGCTCTTTGGTGTGGGATGGATTTATTGACTAGTGGGCTAGGGCAGTGCTTCTCAATCTTTACCAAGTATTAGAATCACCTGGTGGCCTGTTCACACACTGGTTGATGGACCTCACTCCAGAATTTTTTATTCAGTACGTCTGGCATGGGCCTGAGAATTTACATTTCTGACAAATTCCCCAGTAATGCTACTCCTGGCCTGGGGCCACATTCTGAGAGCCAAAACTGTAGGGTGATGGACCTGCCCTTTTCAATGCGGTATATTCAGAGTCCATGGACCTTCATTCAGGCTTCTGCCTGAGTGGAATAAGATTGGTTGTTATCATTCTAGGAACCTTATGATGGGAGGGGACTGGGGGCTCTTGCTTCTGTATGCAGACTTTCATTTAATCCCCTGAATGGTGCCACTTCCTTGTCTTCAGTGGTTGGTTCCCTGGTTGCCCAAGTCTAGAGTCTCTAGTTCATCCTGTCCAGATGATAAACCTCCAGTCTTCTGCTGGGGTACTGACCAGTACTGCCTGACTTCAGCCTCCCTTACGCTCACACCTTCAGAGGAAACCTGAGTCTCCAACAGTTGAGGTTTGGAAGGGCCTCTGAAGTGGCTTGTCATGTGCAGCACTCAGTGTTCTCCATCGAAGTCCGTCACTACTCATCTTCCAAAGTTTGGTGATATTTTTGATCTGCTCTCTTTGTTTCTGCTTCTTTTTCCTTGGGAGCTTTGCTGTTCCTTAATTGTCAGTCTGAGAGGTGGTATAGCATAGACTCAAGCCAGACTGCCTGGGTTGGAATCCTGGTTCTGCCACTTATTAGCTGTGGAAACTTGGAGTTTGGTTAAATGCTTAAGAGTTCCTTAAACACTGGGGCCTCAGTTCCTTCATCTGTAAGATGGGCATCATCACCTCCCTAATAAGAATGTTAGGGATTCCATTAGTTAATGCACTTAAAACAATCATGTAGTAAATGCTCAGTCGCAGCAGATATTTATGAATAATGACATTTTTATGAATAATAACGATGGGGTTTCTAGAGAGAGGAGAAATAAATGGGTATGTCCAACCTGCCATTTTAAATTTGTTTTAGCTTCTGATGAATTCTGGGTGATTTTATCTAAACATAATGTTCATTGTCTTAAAAGAGTTTGCAGACCACTGCTCTGCTTCAGTAACCTGCATTTTACAGATGAGAACCCAAGCCCAGAGGAAGGGACTCGTTCAAAGTCACAGATGGAGTTAGGTGGGGCTAGGACTAGAGACTGGACTCCTGGTCTCTGTTCTCCTGCTCAAATGTTCTTTCGTGCTCTCCTGTGGCCTCTTCTATCACTGGGAGTGACGGAACTGATTCCAGCTGCTACCGTGTGAATTAATTTATTTCAGGTCAGTTGTACTCATCCTTAACAACAGATCATCTTTTCTGTCTTCCCGAGCTTTAGGGAGTGTGTGAAAGTTAGCGTTAGCAGGTATGACGCATTCTCGAAATTCACTGCCAACTCTTAAACCTTACTTAATTTTGTTTTTGGAAATATTTGAAATTTAAATTCCTTGGGCACCTGTTGGATAATTAAGAAGAGGCAGAACAGAAAGGGTAATAATACTGGATTTTAAAAATCACATTCTATGTCTATGTTGACTTGAACCTTTTTTTAAAAACTGAAAATGAACCCTCTCCCCAGAAAAATGCACATACTTAACATACATGCAAAATTTTGTGTTCAGTCTTAAGAGCAATTCCTAAGGCCTGTCTCTGGTTCATGGGTTATGAATCCAGCTGAGTATCTTTTTCCTATCAGAAAAAGCCCATGGTCCGTCTACATGACAAATCATTTTATCTTAAAGGTTAGGAGGATAGCAGTGCAAGACTTCTTGGCAACCTATAGCATCAGGCTTGGTCTGGGCAGAGAGGTTTGCATCCCTTGTGGTTCTCATCCCCTCTTCTCATCAGCCGGTTTCCTCTCCTTTCCTCTGAGCTACCAGTTGCCCAGTGCTCAGGCCGCATCTATCAGGTTCACGGGGTCCAGCGAGTTAGGCAGACTCCCCAGATTCAATAAGTGTTCACCACAGTTTGTTATTTATAAGATCTAGACCCACCACTTTAACATTTTTCTATTCTCCCCTCACCTGACATTCTCCTTTTTCTTTATTTGTGAGAGAAGAATGGGGTCACCAAACCTGAATATTATTCACTGACCCAAAAGCTTAGCAGAGGAGCTTCCTACTCTCTCTCTCTCTCTGTTATGCAAACACTAATGAACTTCATCGATTTGCTGGCATCGGCCTTCTAGCATTTTCCCAAGGCCCCTGCTAAGATTTTGAACCCAGATCTGAGAATTTATCCTCCAGAAGGAAATGTCTTTTCCATGGGTAAAAGGCACAGTATTAGAATATTTCCTTATGACCCACTAAATCCGGGTACACAATCCTCATTGAAACTGGCTTCAAGAGCCACACATTTGAGTCTAGAATCTTGCCTCATTTGCTCTCACACTGATTTGGTGACGAAAGAGTGTGTGGAAAAGGATATCAGGAAGTGAAGTAAGGACTTGCTGGTGCATGCCATTTTTATGTTCTGTGTGGTGTAGTGAGTTACACAGGTATAATTATAGAGCTGGGAGACTCCTGTGAAAAGGAGCCATAGAGGTCCTCTATCAAAGCCATTCATTTTAAAGATTAAAAAACCCTGAGGCTT